CCCCCCCCCAAGTCCTTCTACATTTTTTCCCTGCTGTCTGGATATTATATGCACTATACTTAGTTTCCACATTTGAACTCTCAGGATCCCTTGGGATTTAGCTAAAGTAAACACACCCATTTTGGTCTGACTGGGAGCTGGTAGCGCCTAATAACCCTCAGTGACTAATGACTCAAAGATAATCCTGACATTGGACAGTCTGGCCTCTTACTGAGAGTTTTACTTTTCATAGGAAAAAGAACCTTCTCCCTCCCCCCCCTCAGAAATACAAGTACAAATCCTTGAGTTTTATTTGAGGATTTAGTCATACAAATGACTGACTGTGAATGTTGCCTGGTATGCTTGAAAAGTGTCTTTTTTTTTCTTTTCTAAGTGCAGAACTCACAGGTTGCCATGTTCATGTTGCTTGTGTTTGGATTGGTACTGCAAGAAATTCTGGCAAATTCCCAAACTGAAAACCTTACTGAATTCAGAAACATTCCAGAAGAGCCATTATATAGCTACAAAGCCATCAACTTGCCAGATGAGCATATTTCATACTTTCTGCACAATAACCAGCATATTGCTGGCATCTGTAAGCAGGACTCTCACTGCCCATATAAAGTAGGTTTGCTTTTGTTTCTTTGTCCAAATGTAGGATTGGGGTGGTTTATTCTTGGAGTCACAGCAGTTGGAGATGCATTGGCTCTGGAGCAATTCTGGTGTCTTCTCAGGCTGGAGCTGCTTGGTGGAGCTGGGGGTGGGACCTGTGTGGCTTGGCCTGGGGAGCAGTGGCACGTTGAGCCTGGACCACTGTGCTTTGTGTCTGTCAGTGATGGGGAAATTTTGGAATCCTTCTCACTGAGTCAGGAGAAGTTCTTGTCCTGGAGCAGACATATTACAGACAAGGATAGTGTTGCTGTGGATGTGTGTCCTCCTTGGAGTCTCTGTTGGACATGCAGAATCTGAGTGTTCTTCCTGAAACTCTGTTTGAAAACAGACCAAACTGAAAGCCTTTCATATGAGATTTATTAGCAAGAGGTAGTTTATAAGCTGACAACTAACTTAAATAATTTCCCATTTTGCTGTTGGGTAGCCTGATTAAATTATTCTGTGTTGCAGAAATACTTGAAGAATCTGAAATCCTGCTGGGGTTATGAGAAATCTTGCAAACCAGATTACAGGTTCAGTTACCCAGTGTGTGATTATGTTGAAACTGGATGGTGAGTTTCATTTAAAAAGTGTAAAGTACAGCTGTTAAAAGAGGAGTGTAATGCTTACTTTCATGTTAGCTGTGAAGTTAACATTACTCTGATATTTAGAGATCAAAGGATGATTCTTTGTGAAGGTGTGTGTATATGTGCCTGTATTGATACATAATATAGTCTTTAAACATGTTAAAAAATTTAAATTGTAAGGAAGAAAATACTGTTTTAAATGTTTCCTGCCACAGTGTTTTCATTATCCTGATTTAGCATTGAATTCAGAATCTTAAAATAACTCTGGATTTCCTTTCCTAGCTTTAAAAACAGAGGAAAAAAATGTAAAAATAAAAAAGTATCCCCTTGTATGTAAGAATAGCTTTAAATTGTGATTGATGTTTTCACACACATGCAGCTGATAAGTTGCTTCCTGTTTTGCATCTTACACGTCAGCGAAGTAACTGGCTCTTCTGTTCCATGTTCACTGAAAAAAAGTTATCTGTTCAAGTTATTACTAGAATTTAGCAGCAAACCTTGATTCTTTTTTTTTTTTTTTTTTTTTTTCCTCTCTCCTTCATACATCAGGGCAAGTGACATTGAGACAGCCCAGCAGATATTCTGGAAACAAGCTGACTTTGGTTACATTCAAGAGAGACTCAGTGAAATGAAAACCCATTGTAAGCCTGCAGCAACGGTAGGTATTTCTGATAGATATGTTCCTTTGCATTTGTTTCTTAAAATAGTTGTTGTTATTGATGAAATCCTGCCTGTTCTTTTCTTCACAGGGAGATTCATCTCTGACCTGTTCTCGGTACCTTCAGCACTGCAGAGCAACAAACCTCTACATTGATTTACGAACAGTGAAGAGAAACCATGACAGGTCTCTGATTTGCTTATGTTATGGTGTAACCAAGGGATGGCAGGGAAAAGAACTTCAGGATTTGTTTAACAAAGGTGGTGTGCTTCTTGCCGGGGGCTTTACTGCTGATCAGAGGCTTCTTGCTGAGGTCCTGTTGAAATTTACACCTCTTGGTTGCTGTCTGTGTCTGCTGTCAGCAGTACAGGTTATTTAAAAACCTAAGCTCTCAGCTTTATGGAATGATGATGGGTGATGGAATTCCTTCCTTCTGATGGAAAAGGGGAAGACTTTTCTGTGTCTTCAGTCACAGCCTTTCTTGATCTGTTGATGTGCAAAGTAGAATTGTTGTTGTATGAGTCAGAGAGAAGGTGCTTTTGTAACAGAGTTGGGAATTGCATTTTTAGGTACTGAGACTGAAGAGAGATCTGGACCTGGATCTCCCACATCACAATTTAAAATGCTGCGTATTGGAAAAGTGATACCACTGATGTGGGCATCACCTGCTTTTCATTCTGCCTTATTACCTTTGAAGTCAGTGTCTTGGGCACCTGACTTGAAAAGAGCTGGTTCATGGCTGTGACACTGATACCCTTCAGAATGGGTTTTGTCATCTTCTCAGCCTACCCTAAAAGCTGATTTAGACAGTGCTTTTAGTTGGCAGTTTGTTATCATGAAACCTGTTCTTGCACCTCAGTCTTCCTGGTAAAGTTCTTGGGTTACTTACTGGTGCAATCTGAGGTGAATTTCAGTGAGAAATTTTTATTAAAGAAAAACCCAACTAATGATGCTCCTGTAAGTAATCATGTAGCAAAATCTAATTAAATTACTCATTTGGGTATGTGAAAATATTTCCTAGTAACATTCTGAGTGAATGTTAGCTGTTTTCTAAATTGATGTGTAGAAATCCAAGTACACCACTGTCTTTATTTGGGAATTGTGGGAAATGCTTGATTGGTGCTGAAGAAAATACTTGGGTTTTACAGATTTTAAATAGGTATGAAATACCTTGCTGAATTGAGACTGACTAGCACTGTCTTGAGTATGTACTAGAGACTGCAGAGTGCTTGCTGCCCTGCTGCCCAAAGGCTGATAGACTTTTACTAATTTGCATTAGATTCAAAGAAGACTTTTTCCAGAAGGGAGAGATTGGAGGTCATTGCACTCTTGATGTCCAAGCATTTTTGGCTGAAGGTCAACGCAAGAGCCCCCTGCAGTCGTGGTAAGAATCACTTGTCAAGGCTGCTTCCAAGTTCACTTGCTAATGCTTTTTTAATTTTTTCACTGCCATTAGCAGCTGCATGGAGGGGATTTCATGATGAGGAGATAGTTGCTCCTTTCTAAGGTCAATTTCAGAGTTCATGATAAGATACCTCTGGTAATTACATCAATATGGAATGTTCTGAACTGTGCTATGAGTAATTGTGTCCTGCCTAATTTATAGGAGCAAAAGATCTGAAAATATCTTGTAATTTGAAGTTATAACCCTCAGGTGTTTTCTGGACAATGTGCTGGTTGTGTGTCTGATCTGTCTATAGAAAGAGACAGATGTTCTGTTTGAAATGCCTTGAAGTTTGCACTTGTGTCTTAGCTCACCCAGACCTTTGTGGTGTTGGGGCTGAAGCAGTGCCTGATCCCGGATAGATGCTAATGTGGTGTTCCCAGGGAGCCTGAGCTAGGAATGTGACACAGGAAACAGGCTACAAGCTGAGTGGAAAGTGCAGAGAGTGTTTTGTGGTAGCTGGCTAAGTGTCACAGGTTGCATGTTAGCACTTCAAAGCTGCATTGCCAGTTAATTGATGAAACATGAAGGAATTGGAATTTCTAAGGTCCATGTTAGAATTAATTTAGATGTTTTTTTCACATTTTAACTTTTTTCCCTCATTTTGCATTGATGGTCAATTGGAATTAAGAATATCTGCAGAGGAGGAAGAGGCTTGCCCTCTCTACCTGCTTTTGTGGTCTCAACTGTTCATCCTTGTTTGGATCCAGGAATAATAAATATCACGTCTACATTCATTGTTCTGACCAAAGCATGAAGTTCTTATTGAAGTGTCCTTGGCAATGCAGATCAAGTTGGACAGATCCACAGATGTAGGCTCTGAGGCTCTTTGTTATTTCTCTGCTGCCTTGATTTGTAGATCAAAGATGCTGTTCACTCCTGAGATCAAAGGTGGTGTTTAACCTCTAGAAGCTCATAACCTGAAGAACCTTCCATTACAATTTCAAGTCATTTTAATTGTCAGATTCTTGTCAGTTTTCAGCAGTCCTGTTAAATCAAATGGACTGGAGGAACAGTTACTAAATCTTAGATGTGTGAAGTACATTTGTTTAAGTGTGTTAATGACAAAGCGTGTTCTGTGTGATTGAATCTTGGTAGGTTTGCAGAACTCCAGACATTTACTGCGTTGAACTTCAGGCCCCTAGAAGATGAGAAGTGTGATGTTGTTATTGAAAAGCCAACATACTTCATGAAATTAGATGCAGGTAATGGATATCTTTAGCTTAGTTTCTTATCTTACAGTACTGCAGTAAAAAGACCACATATCCAGCTTCCCCATCTGCATTATGCCTGTATGATTGTCAGGTTCCCTTGTAATACATTTTCATGTTTGAATGATGGTGTGACCTTTGAATTCCTTTTTTCTGTAGTTCCATTAATGAACTTGGAGATGTAGGTTTAAATCCTTGCATTTTGCCACAGACAAATAAATAAATATATTAATAAATTCCACTTGTTTTGCAGAGTCATTGACTCTTGACTGCATTTTGAGAGGGTCTTTGACTTTGTGCCAAAGACTCCTTTGCACAGAGTGTTTTTATTTTGGCCCTGTTTCTGGGTCATACCGTGAAACACAGGGTATATGTACATATGTCTTGTATGTGCTCAGTAATTGAGGATTTGATGTATATTCAATGATAAGGAAGAGGAAGCAGTATTCAAAGACAAAGTTCAAGGGAATAAGCTTTGTTGATTAAAATACTTCCCCTCACCCATCCCAGAAAATCCAAAGGATACAAAACAAAACACAGCCCTGTTTTAATCTTAAAGCTTCAAATATAGGTGAAAAGCCACTACAGGAAGAAATCAGCTTGCTCATGACAGAGAGCAGTGGTGAATGCTGTACAGCACTTCACCAAAATTCCCAAGAGGGACAGCACCCAAACAGCTGCAGGAATCAGCCAGTGGTACTTGGCAGTTTTTTGAAGTCCACCGACCTTTTTGTTCATGCAGCATATTTTGCAGACAAATGTTAATGAAAGGGAGTGTCTGGGTTGTAAACATACAAACAAGCTGCTGTGGGTTATGCTGTAGTTTAAACTGGATAGTTGTCTGCTGTGTTCAGACCCTCTAGCACACTGCAACTGTAAACTGGATTACCCCTCTTCCCCTGCTGATATTTTAAGCAAAATTGTTGCAGGCCCCTGAGCAGTTACTATGGAGGAGTTTCTGTCCTGTCAGTTTGTACCTTTGAGCAGGTGATCTAACTGTGGCTCAGGTGGGGATTTTGTTCATCTCCTTTGTTTCAGGGGAGATGGGAAAATTGCTCTTGGAGCAATATAGGAAGCCCAGGAGCTAGTTCCTGTGGCACTTTGTTTTGGTCAGAAGCTTGGAAACAGCAGCTGTGTACATAGGGTTCCAAAACTGGGATCTGATCTTCACTAGCAGGGAGCCTGGACTATGTTACCTCCTTTGTTTCACAGATGTTTTTTATGTGGCATGATCTGGAGGTGTTAGCTTAAGAAACCAAGAATGAACAAGACTGCTATGAGAAAAAAACTGAGGAATTACTTGGCCTTTGGCTCATGTGCAATACAAGTTCTGTCTTGCAGTCCTGCAGACAGAGCTTCCCTTAACCCTAACAAAGCAGAGCCAAGATCAGTGCCGAAGGCCTGGTTTTAATGTTTCCTTTCTGTCTAACTAGCTATTGTTAAAGCAGTAGTTGCTTTCACATACTTCAGAAAGCAGCTACGAACTGTAATGAGAAACAGCACACAAGAAGATTTTTTCTTATGCTGTCTTTTGGCCCCTCTAATTTCTCAGAACGTTTTTAAAAAACCACTTTTTACTTCAGATTTCTCACCTTCCCTGTACAGGTCTGCTTTTTTTTTTTTTTAATGTGTACAAGAAGCCTTCAGGTAGAAGCAGAGGAAAACTGGTATAAAATGCAGGATATTACTAAGGAAAAAATTCTTAAACCAATAAAAAGTGAAGCAAGTAATGCAATGTTTTGCTAACAGTTCTTTCTTTCTCAGGTGTTAATATGTACCATCACTTCTGTGATTTCGTCAATCTTTATATTACACAGCATATTAATAACTCCTTCAGTACTGATGTCAACATTGTCATGTGGGACACTGTAAGTCTGCTGTGCTTTTAACCTTTTTGTCATGGGTTGTATTTCTGTTTTATAGAGATTCTGAAGCTTTCAGTAGCCAATCCTTTGCTTTTTTTGTGGGCTTAGCCATGTGGAACTGATAAGTTTTTGGGTCTTGTTAATACAGGTGCATGAACAATTGTTAGGTAACAGATTTTCTACAGTAAACCATGTGCTGTTTGAGTGTTACTCCACAACTCATCTTTTGCTAGTACATAATTACGCCCTTTTTTTGATGTGACCTCAAAAATAACATGATCTGTGTTTCTGATTTGTGATGTGAACATTCATGGTGGTTTTGGTAGACTTTTCAATCTGAGAATATTGAAGTAGTTTTACTCAAAACAGTTTATTCTATATTTAAAAAGAAATGCAGCCTTGCATCTTTCTAAATCTGTAATGTCAGCCTGTAATAAAACAACTAAAATTAAATGCTTTTATATATATATATGTTACAACAGGGTCTAATAATTCTTTTAAGTAGCCTTTGCAGTTACTTCTCTCAATCACCTCTCAGAATGCCACCATGACATACAAAGTACATTTTTAGGTGGGGCTATTTCTGCTGTACTGCTGAGTTGAAACCATGACTGCATTTAAGAATAATACTAGTTTTACTGGCCAGTGTTTCTGCCATGTAGGAGGGTGTTAAAGAAACAATGAAAAACTGTGTCATGTGTATCATGCCAGCTAACATGTTTAATCAGGTCCAGAAATAACACAATTCTTGACTGTGCTATTGTCCCACACCCTTCTTGTTCTTATAAAATTCTGAGTTTTATTTTTTGAGCATAAACTGCTTGGACAACAAATATCCAATAGAGAACTGCAAATATCCCCTGCTTGCTATTTAATGAGAAGTTTCTTTGGCTAGAAGAGACTTTTTTTATTTCTAGTTCTCTTACGTTTTGAAAGCTGAAATAAATGTGCCTGCCAGACAAGCAAGCTCGCTGGATGTTGTGCAGGGACCTGTTAATCCAGCTCTGATGGCTTTCTGAAAAGATCAGATGTGTCAGACAGCACTGCAAATTTCTATGTAAGACAAAGAGTTGCTTTTCAAAGTATTGTTGAATCAAATAACTCCCTCAAATGTACCATTCAAAGCAAGTGCTGTCACAGTCCGATCATTTTAAATGTCTTAACTGCTCAGGCTGCTCTAGTTCGTTACCACGTACAACCAGGTGATGGCACCAACTGACTACTGATGAGCTGTCTGTGATGATCAGAGGATGGACTTCAGCTTATTATTAATTCTCCTTTTTTACCCCTTGATGTAATTAGGTTTGACCATACTTTCTAGCTACTGTAGAGTCAGTGCACTGTTCTTATTAAGCAATAATGCCCTTAGATATAGGTTAAACTGAGCAGAAAATGAGTAGGAAATCCACTGGGTGTTGATTTGCTGACTGTCTGCAAATGCCAGTGTTTATAAAGCACTTTTGGGGAGGGCAGATAGGGTTAGTAAGTAGTACTTAGGGCTTTGAAGATCAGTTCTCTACTGCTAATCTAGGGGAGCAGTTCTTGCAGAACAGATGGCCAGAAAGCAGCACGGATTGTAAAATGCATTAAAACAATGACAGAAGAAGGAGAAGGAAGCACCTCTTTAACTGAAGGAAACCTGGCACTCTTTAAGTTCTTTTACATTTCATTAGATATCTGCTCTCTTCTGTGGTCATTTGGAGACTTATTCTCACATTTCTTATTGAGAGTATTTCCACATAACTTTCCAAGCAGCCTGAACCAGCTCCAGAGTTGAAAGGAAGCTTTAAGCAAGAATCTGTACCAGGACTACTGAGGGCACATTGAATTGCATTAAAAGAGCAAGAGATGATGACTCTTAGCCTTCAGATGTGTAGGAAGTCTTACCAAGTTGAAAGCTGCTAGGCCAATGTTGTAGGGAGTAGATGGTTCCTAAAAAGATCCACAGTGTTGCTGCAAGGGGGGAAGTTTTATCCTCTCCTGTAGAGAAACTTCTTGGTAGCCAGTGAAAGTAAAGGGAAAAAATCATGTCCTGGCTGTTTCTTCCATCAAATCAGATCATTGCCTTCAATTTGTGGTGCAAGTGACCATCCCAAAACAGAGGCAAACGTGAAACAGACTTGTTGTGACTTTTTAATTCAAACATTACACTGCATTGCAATTCCCAGGTGATTTTTTTTTAATCTCAGGAGGTTCATGCCTTCTACCTTCCTTATGAGTCTGCTACTTCAAATTTAACTTGTGTTCTGTTGTCTGTGGGGAAAGTAGTAGGTACTCCTTGCTTCTAGCTCAGAAATTCTAATCTGCTGCTGAAGACCTTGTTTAGATTGCTAATTTAAAGACTGTTTTATTAAAAATTAACTACCTGACAGGTAATTTGAGTTAACTGCTATTGTAAACACAGGGTTTGGTGTTCTGTAATGTCTGTGTCCTGTGTTTGGCTGTTTAGGTTCCAGGGTGGGGATGTGCATATTTACTATATTTTAAAACTCAGGTATGGAACTTGTAAACAATGAAGACAGTTTTCAGGTGCATTTATGCAATCGTTGTACCCTTGTGTTTTTTCCTTACCTCCTAGAGCTCATATGGCTATGGTGACCTCTTCAGTGAGACATGGAAGGCATTTACTGACTATGAAATAATACACTTGAAAACCTTTGATTCTAAAAGGGTATGGAATTTTGCATGTATTTTTTTTTAATTCAAAGCCACTAGGTAGTGAATATGACAGCTTCTCAAGCAGGTTGTGGATCTGGGTGTTCCAGAGGAGCATTAATACTTTCCATGCATGTTTAATTTCTGTAATATGAGTGTTCTACCTTACAAACAAGAGACAGAGCTGTAACTTAATTCTGTGGCATGTCTGTGTTTTATATAGATGGACCTAACTTTTGTGTCTTCTGAGAGGTGATGTCAATGTATTGGTTTTACTTATGCAGGACTCAACTACTGAAGTTAAGGGTTTTCAAATAGTAGTGTTTTTCTTAGTCTTCTCATTCCTACTTAGGCATTTATCTTCTCCTGCAACTGTTAGTATATCAAACCTGCTGTTTATCAATAAATACGATTTTACTCCACCCAAAAAAATGTACCCATTCATTCAGACCTCATTTTAGTCTCTTAAATCTTGTCTTTAAACTCACTACTCTCTAACTGGTTTTCTTGTATGTAGCTTATGTTTGTTCTGTTTTGGGGGTGGTTTTCTTACCTCTTCTCACACTTGAATCTCTAGCATCCTAAGTGGGAGCTCTTTTGGAGTCAGGATTGTCTTTGTTCTATTCATTTGCACAGTTGAGGAAGTGAGGATTTTCTTGACAGGAGCATGTAATTGCTAGCTCATTATAAGCAGTGATTCCACTGAATGGGCAGGGGATGTGCCAGTGGAAGGTAGCAGAGCAGTGTCACTTCTTGTGATCTCCTTTGCAGGTGTGCTTTAAAGAAGCAGTCTTCTCATTACTGCCTCGGATGCGTTATGGCTTGTTTTATAACACACCACTGGTGAGTCCTTTTTATCCATCCACTGTGTTAACTAGATGTGTGACGGCGTAAAGTCTCAGCTAACGAATCCCTCAAATACCTAGCTGAGCTATCATGGAATGGATGCACTAATCTTCCCTACAGATTAGGATTGTGAAGCTGCTTTAGCTGGTTGACAGTAACTGGTTGTGTGCAGTCTCACATGTCACAGTTCACTAAACCTCTTTAATGGGTGGGCACTGTGGACTTACTGGTATTTTTGCACAGCAGAAGAGCTCCTACACTGACAGTATGGAGTACACTGGGAGTATGAGCTCATGCATTCAGGCTGTAACACTGTGGGGAGAGTTATATTTCTTTCTAAATGAAAGTGCCACTTGTGTTGTGGTGAATAGTGACATGTTTAGCACAGTGCATGATCCTAGGCATTTGTTCCACAAAATTGGGAAAAAAGCTGATCACAAAGAGAGGTTTTTCTGAGCAGAATAACTTTTTTGTATTAACAGTTGCTTTTTTAAATTTTAGATCTCTGGCTGTCGTGGTACAGGGCTCTTTAGAGCATTTTCTCAACATGTATTACACAGATTAAATATCACACAAGAAGGACCCAAGGTATGGTAACTGAATCATATAGTTGTAATATGGAGCTGATGGCTCTTAGGAGAGAAACAGCATTAGCAAGCTGGACCCGGTGGGGAACAAGAGCATATTGTGCACTTTTTGTCCTTTCCTGTGATGCTTGGGATTTTCTTCCCAGTAAGTCAGCCTGTTTTGTGAAGGCCTCTAGCAAACATTTGTGTATGTTTGTGAAAGTCTGTCCTATGGAAATAAGACACCGACTTTAGTACATCCTCCTCCTGACCCTAAGGTCTCTTCCCTGCCTCCATCCTCTGTGCTCAAGGCCTTTGGTTCCTTCATAGTTAAAGAAGACACACAGTGCATGGTCTCTGCTGGAACATGCTGATGAAGTGCTGCTCTTGGGCCCAGCAGAGGGGATCCCACAGAGCAGTGAGCTTGCTCCTTATTGATCCTTGTAGCTCCTGCTGAGCCCAGGTCAGAGGAGTAAATGACTGAATCTGCTCCTTCCAGTCCCTGCCCAGTGCCATCTGCCTGGCCCTGGCCCTCTCTCTTGTGCACACGGGTAGTTTTGGAAAGTTGTTGCAGTGGCTGCATTGATGGATGGGGCAGTTCTGGGCTCCCTGAAGTACTTGCCAGAGTGTAGCCTACGTATTATCACCGAGGGGCACATGTTCAAAGCACTGCACAGGCATTTAGTTCTGCTTCTCCTGCTGCCACTAATGGCAGTCATGCAGTTAGATCTCTATTTCACTTGGAACACTTACTCTGGGAGTCCAGTTAATTGAAAGACGTAAAAGGAGGAGCTGCTATAGAAGTAAAATATTTTTTTCTGAGGGTCTTGTACACAAGCCATCCTGAAAGCTGTTTTCCAGCTTTCAAAAACTCTATAATATGTAATGCAAAGGCTCTTTTGTCCTGAATAAAATAAATCTTTCAGAAAATGTTTTATTCTTTGCTAATAGTCAGACTTGCACAAAGTTTTTGACGCTTTTAAACTGCTGGAAAACACGATGTAAATTTTCAGGTGGTTACATCTGTTACATGGGGAGGGAATGTATTTAGTTGCTCAAATAATTGCCAGAAGTAAATACAGAACTGTTTGGGAGGGGTTTTTGTGTGAGGTCTGGCTCAGAGCTAACACTCTGCTGCTGCTGCTTTCTTTTTAGGATGGGAAAATTCGAGTCACCATCCTCGCACGCAGTACAGACTACAGGAAAATATTAAACCAGAATGAGGTGTGGTCCTTTTTATTTTTAAAACAAGTTTATCAGAAGTTAAATTTTGCTCATTGACTTGATTATTATTTTTTCTGATACAGCCAAGACATCTGTATGCTGACAGATCTTGAACAAATATGTTCAGTGCTAGGATTAATTTCTTCTGGTGTGTCTTCTAAGCAGTCTCTATTTCTGCATGCCAGACACTGAACCTTGTTGCCCCTTTTAAATACCCAGTGGAGGAGTACAGATGTAATACTAGAAGTATTTCCTTCTAACAAACAGACACTGCAGAGCTTCTGATATCGTTAAATTATTTTGCTTTCAGATTCCCTTTTATTTCTACAATCCCCAGTGTTGAAGGCTGTGACAAAAACCTTTATTATGCTTGCAGATTAAAATGCATAAGCTGTTGTATCTGTGTGTGCATTCAAATCTCAATGATTTTTCATGTTGAGTCATGTTTTTGAATCTCACGACTTAGTGGACTTGGCAGAAGGGGAGAAGTTAATCTTTACTCCACTTCTACAAAAAATATACTTTCTTTCTTACTGTCCTGCAGACTGGATTGGAGACTTAGAAAGTGCCCTTTAAGGTTAGAAACTCAGGCTGTAGCCTGCTTTCACTCCTCTTGTGACTAGGAGTCTGACCTAGTAAGATATTTTTGAAAATCTTTCTGGCAACCAATTTGCTTCTTCAGGTGTTGGAATATCTTTTGGAAATCTAACTGCATCTTCCCACTATTCTTCACAGAACTCCTACTAGTTTGAGTGGTTTAGGATTGGCTTCTGAAGCATGTAAAAGTCAACAGTAGTTTCTGTAAGAGTGCAGGATGTCAAGACTCTTCTCCAGGGGCTGCTCTGTCAGGAATAACATATGTATCTTGGATGAGAAGGCACATAAAGAGGGGAACTGATCCTTTATGTGGTGGTGACAGGATGTTTTGTCTCATTGTAATTCCCTGGTGAGGAGGAGGACTGTGTAAAATGATCAGGAGTGCAGGGGAGGAATTAATTGAAGGAGAGCACCAAATCATTATCTTTTTATTCTCTTCCTTAGCTGGTGAATGCTTTAAAAACTGTGTCGACATTGGAGGTCAGAGTGGTAGACTACAAATACAAGTACGTAAGTTGGTAAAAGAAACTAGTGTGATCTGATGCTGCCTGTGTCTGGTGAAAGCTGGTTGCAGGCAGAGCTGCAGATGCCCTCATGTCCAGCCATTGCAAACCCCAGGAAGTGTGTTATTTGAGGGAGTTCTGGGTGAGCTGGATGAGCACTCTCATCCTGTGATGAACTACTCCAGGCATGAATCTCTTGAGTTAGTGGCTCAGTTCAGATGTTTTGAACAGACTCTTGTGAAGTTTTGAAACCTGCCTTCATTTCTTTTAATTCCATGCTGAGTTATTGCTGGCTGCAGCATTTGTGATTCTTAGTATTGTTCCTTGAAAAATCAATTCACCCTTTCAGTTTTCCCTTGGGTTAATTTTGTGCTTTCTACACGTAACTAATTCTTGCTGAGATAGATGGGCATGCCAGGTCACCACTTGTCTTGTGTTGTCTGCAGGGAACTTGAATTTTCAGAGCAATTGAGAATCACCCACAACTCTGATATATTCATTGGGATGCATGGAGCTGGACTTACCCATTTGCTCTTTCTACCAGACTGGGCTGTTGTTTTTGAACTGTAAGTCTGTTTCTCTCTCTTTCCCCTCACACACAACTCCTAATATCTGGTTTTATCTGTTGCTAGAATTTTACTATGAATGTTTGTTGTGTATGCTCATCTAAACTTCCTTTTGGGCAACCTCTTTTGGAAGTCAAAAGCAAGGAAGTTTGCATTATAAAATAGAATGTAACTGTATCATACAGGTTTAGCCTGTGATTTCTTAAGTTATAGGGAAATAAAATGCAGCCTGGTCAGGAACTGCTTGAGGAAAATGGCAAAGAAAAGTAAAATGAAAGAGAGCCTCACTGTTCAGATTCTGCTTGGTGGGTCTGCAATCTAGTAGTATTTTGGTGATTCAGGGGACTTGATTACACAAGATGCATGTCTAGGGTGTTAAAGATCCCCCTGAAGGTTATTCATAAACTCCTTTCTAGGCTCAGAAGATGAGCACCAGCTTGCTGAGCAAGCCCAGTTGTGTGTCATTCTGTTTCATCTAAATTTCTTCAGTAGCTTCCTTCTGAACATAGGCACTGCAGTTCTATAGAACTAACCAAAAATGCAGCACACTTCTCAGAAGAGCACTGAATTCTTCATCCTGGGAAATTCTGCTTAAAATCCCTGCTGTGGGAAGGCTGTGAAGCTGATGCTTTGCTGCATATTTTTGGCTTGAGAGAATTTTGTCCAGTCTCCAAATAAGCTCAGACATGCAGTGTCTTTTTATATGTCCAAGAGCTGCTGCAGCTGGACAGGGACATGCCTGACATGCAGATGTGCCTCAGACTGGCTCCTTGGCCACATCTTAAGAATAGACAGAAGCCCTTGTTGTTCTTTTCAGTGCCTTCAAACTGGACAACAAACGTTTTAGCCTGAAGTAGGTTGAGGTTTTTTGTCTATTTTCCCTCCTGTTTCACCCCAGAAAGCTTCAGCACAGTCTGTGTAGGTAACTTAGGATTTTTGTGCCTGCCCCTAGGTACAACTGTGAAGATGAACGTTGCTACCTGGACCTGGCAAGGCTGAGAGGCATCCACTACATCACCTGGCGGAAAAGGAACAAAGTGTTCCCTCAAGATCAGGTAATGGGGGCCTCTGCTGGAAGGGTAGGGTGCCATCACTTGGAGCATTTAAAGCTTAGCTTGCTTTACCTATCTATGTTTGGATATTTGAAATGCAATTTTCATTCTTTAGGCCACATTAACTTCCCTGTTGTAATTAAGTAATGAAACAAACTGGCCATTAATCCAAGCCATCCACAGCACTGCTGGTATGCAGATGCTTTGCTGACTATTTTGTCTCAGAGCAGATCAGTGGATCTGGAATAACAGATTAAAATGGCAGATGCTCAATTTTTATTGTGGATTTTTGAATGGAAGATGTATTTTTATTTTTTCTGTCTAAAATGCCTCATTTCATTTTTCTAGGGACACCACCCAACACTGGGAGAACATCCAAAATTTACAAACTACTCCTTTGATGTGGAAGAATTTATGTACTTGGTGCTTCTGGCTGCAAATCATGTTTCACAGCATTCCAAGTGGCCATTTAGGGTAAAACATGATGAATTCTAAACTAGACTGTTGACTGAGATATGATTTTTAAATAATGCTCCATAAAAATATTGTGACATCATAAAGCAAAATGCTAAGTGTGAAACATGTAAACCTCTACGAGGGAAATAACCTGGTATTAATTTGTCAGCCCACTTCTTGGCACCATACTTTGTCTTTGTAATCCTGCTCTTTAATTCTGAGAGTTTTGCCTACTTAAAAACTATTTTTTCAGAACTCTTTTTGGGTTTTGCACTGTGGTTTTGTATTCTGAAATCCTTGTCTGGATGCAAAGATATGTCCATGCATTTCATGTAAGATGTTCTTGGGTAGATACTAATTTTGCAGTAGTTGATGCCTACTTTTATCTGAGGAAATGCTAGAGGATGGGGTGTGTTACAGCTTGGTTTCTCAGTGTAGTTTCTCTGGGAATGCAAAAGACCTGTCAGAGCTCCCCAGTTCTTCTTTTTAAAAAGTGAGAGGATGCTTTTATGCTATAGTCCTGTACCTCTAAGTAAAAATCTGAATAGAAATTGCCTTCCTATTGTAAGACACTGCCCAGTGTGTTCTTTGCAGTCGAATTACATGACATGGTGGTTTCAGAATGGCTGTTTAGTTCCTTTCTGTCACCATCCAGGTCATTGCTGTGCTTGTTCCTGTGTTGTTTCTAAGTTTGAACATCTTCCTGTGCAAAATAGTTGTTCTAAGAATGAAGCAAGCTTTAACTTCTGTTGTTTGATTCAGCAGACACTTCAGACTTCTGTTTCAAATTTAGGAACAATTTTGAGTTAGAGAGCAGTCTTAGGTTTTTCATTTGAATATGAACTTGACTCTGTAGTTTTAAATGCTAAAATATAACAGGTCTGCTCAGCAAGTTTAGCCAGTCTTCCATTTCAGAGCAGGGAATTCTTGTCCTAAGTGAATACTTCAGACTTCAGGTAATCTGTTTCCTATGTTTTCACTGAAAACAGCACTCTGCAATGGAAACCTGAGCAAATGGGAATAAAACTTGAGTCTTTTTAAGGATGCTAAAGGGAACAGACATCTAGGGGTTTTTTTTTATGACAAATAAGAAGATGGGAAGGGTGTCTTTCAGCTGCAGCTAAAAGGAAACAAAGTCATGAGGAACTTTGTTCTTGGAGCCATTAAAAGGCTAATCTATTAATATTCTTGTGTTTCAAAATGTCGAAGAGTCAGTCTAGGAAGCTGGAAAATCCTTCCAAAGCAGTAGCATAGTTCACTGCTTTCAGTGAAGGAAATGTTAAGCCAAAGCCAAGTTCTTTATCAATTTTTTTCTGGAGCTGATATGTTGGTGCTAGTGATGAGGGGGAAAAGGGAGTAGTTCTGTTAAGTGGGGTCAGAAGGAAGAATCACGTTCAGTGAGATAAAAAACGAGTTCTGTGTTAAATTATGGATTTATTTGAGACTATTCCTGTGATAGTCTTTCAGTATAATCCTGCAGTCTCAGTGGCTTGGAGCAGAACATACATTTGTATGCAAAAGACAGTTACAGGAAATGTAAACATTTCACTGGTATAATTGTAGATATTATTGGCTTCCATTCTCCAGCAGTCATAGGCAATTTCAGAGAGTGTAGGTACATTTACTGACCTGCCTATATTGGTAAAGATGAGTTACTGTAAGCATAATTTGCATATAGATCCCTTACAACCTTAAGCAGTGCATAGGAAAAACTAGATCTAGCTGATACACAAGATATATTCAGGTATCTGGTGCAATTCTTAGCATAGTGTATTGTTTTACTGATGGATAAAACTGTTTCACTTTAAAGAACCATTGAAGCAAAATTGCACTCCTTGGCATGAAAAAAAAGCCCTGTATTTCCTGTATTTGTGTGTGTGTGTTTTTTTTTCTACCTTGTGGGATTTTTAAAGAGAAAAAAATGTATAAAACTTAGGAAAATGTTTGAGTTCAAATGAAACCAACTCAAAATAAAGATGGTGTTTAACTATGAACTGTGCACAGATACTTGATATTTTTTTTAATAAACAAAGTTTTTATTTTAAAAAATAAGTGTAAAATTTTTGATCATAGTTTGCCAGGTTTGAGAGGCAACTGTTTTAAATGCTATTAATTGTGTAGAGTCATGGGTCTGCTTTTTCCTGCCGTAGCAGCCTACTGTACTGAGGTCCAGACTGGTTTATTTACTTGGGGATCATTCACCTGGCACTGATGGCTTTGTTGTCAGGCATTTTAAGATTGGCTTGTGGAAAAGTTTTGTGCATATTGAAGTTCCTGCAGTGCAGGTGGTGCTGTTGAAGCCAGTGTGTGACTGCAGGTTTGTGCTTGAGTCTGTACAGAAGCAGCTAATGAGCAGCTTCTCTTTCAAGCCATGGTAGCACTCACTAGAACAAGTGGTTGAACATATGGTTGGATGCACAGAGAGGAGGTTGTGGGGAGTTAATCCAAGGGCAAAATATCCTGCTAACTTTCAGCAGTTTCAACAAATTTGAGTGCAGCATCAGCAGTTGATGGCCAACATGTTCTTCAGCCTTTATGACTTAATATTACTGGGGTGAAAATACTGATTTTGTTGCTTTACAGAAAGTCCCAACGTTATCTTGGCAGCAGAAAGGGGGTTGGTTGGATTAATGGGATTTTTCCAATAATCCTGAGGGAAAGTTTGGACAACAGCAAAGGTCTCGCTTGTGACTTTCTTAAAGAGGGTCTGAACCATCTCAGCCTGCCTCAGACTTGGAATTTGAGGGAATCCATGAGACTCTGGGGCCACTTGTTCCTCAGGCAGGGTATAGCTGTGGTTTGTATTTTCCTGACAGACTATAGGAGTCTTGTTCTTTGCTACTTCTGAGTTATTGTGGGGTTTTTTTGTCTCCTCAGTTAACTTAAGCTTAAAGTCTGTATTTAACTGGCACATGGGCATCAGTCTGAGGAATTTAGCTTTGGGATTTAATGAACAGTGCCAGTCCTGAGTGCTTGCAGGATTGCCTGTGTTTCATGTACAATGTAAACCAAGAACTGTATTTCAAATAAAAAAAAAAAAAAAGAATGTATGGATGCACACAGTCTTTTCCTTTTACTTCAAGAGTCTTCAAAAGGTATTTTCAGTTTTTACTTGGTGAGGTTCTGTGGAAATTGGGTAAGTGTGAGAAATGGTTTGTGATGGGGAGGTGGCAAATCAGGATTATTAATCTGAAGAGTGCAATTATAAATATTAAGGCTATACCTTTTTAAAAGCAATTAAATAATAATGAAGTGGTTTAATCTTTGCTGTTAATCCTGCCAGTTGCACCATTAATGAGAACTCAGGTTTACAATGTCTCTTAATATTTTATTTTCTTTTAAGTAGGAGAGAAACTGAAGGAAACATTCTCCTTGAGAGCTTTTTAGCTGCTCAGGAGTGTAAAATGTGAGGGGATAATTGTGAGGTGATAATTTTCTTTGATTTCAACAGTGAATTGTTTCAGTTTGCAGTGTTTGCCTTGGGGTTGAGCTCTTGCTTCCACTCCTCTGAATGAATGTTTCTCATGGATTGGGCTTCCACTTCTCTGAAGTGGAAGAACTGCACCTCAGCACTCTTCTGGCTTTGGCCCTGACATGGCCAGTGTGGCCTGGCTCTTCACCATTTGCTCATGAACTCTTATTGTCCTTGCATTTTAGTTCCTCACCTCACAGGGTTGGTGTGAGGGTGCTAAGCCTGAAGCTACTGATCTGCTGCAATGGGAGCTGCTCCTCGTGTCTGTGGACTCCCTGAGGGCTCTTCACCTCATTTCAGCCCAGGTCAGCTGCCTTAGCAAAGCCCACAGTGCCAGCTGGTTGCCACAGACTCCTTTTCCCTGTAGACAAAGGCTATGGTGTGAGGAATGGCTGTGTGATCTTCTCATCTGGGGTGGCAGTACCTCAAAGCAGGCAGGCAGATCTGGGTTCTCGTTGGAGTAACCTTTCTGGAAAAAGGTATAGCTGGAATAAAATGACTGAGCCAGACTTTGTGAGCCCAGGTCTGAAGTTGTAGCTTCTGTGTTGGTGGAATTGAGCAATTCATGGTTTTGGCTGTTACAAAAGTATTTGATACAACATAGTACACCAAATGTATGAAGCCTTTGAGTAGAGGGTGAGAAATCAATGGCCTAATGCTCAGAATGCTCAGATACCCTATCACTTGGAATTTGGGTTTATTGTCTTGTTTGCTGAACATCATCTGTTCCACATGGTCTGGCCGTGTGGTTGTGGTCAGTAAATCGAGCCGCACGTTATCTTGGAGTCTCGTTGCTCCCCTCAGCTTTTCAGAAGAGCATTCTCTAAGGTGGCTGCTGCTTATCCATTCCCTTGGTCTCTGTCGGCTGGACAAGGCTCTTGCCTTGGAATGGACATCCCGTTTCCAGGTAAAGCTGAGCAGCATTTACTACCTAGTTTAGCAGAGGGCAGTAGGTGGCACTAGAGCCCTTTCCAATGTTCCCTTGGCAAAGGGAATCTCGTTTCAAATGTGAAATCATCTCACAGAGGAGTACAATAAAGCAACTGCTCCTATAGATTATTATTTTGTTTTCCCTTCTTTTTTGTCGAAGGAAAAGCCTGGAAAAAAGTCATCCAGGGAGATGTTAGTATTGAGCTTAAAATTGTTCAGATGCTATAATACCAGAATATTGTTCCTTACTTTCTCTTTAAGCAACTTAGTTGGTGTTGGAAAATAATTTTCAGTCAATCCTCTGTAGCAAAATCCTGTTTCTCATTTTCTTGTAGAACTGTTGTGCCGAAGTGTTACTTTTTAGCAGTTGATGCAGTTCCTGTTAGGCTGCAAAGTCTTGATTTTTTCCCTAATGCAACACGTGATCCAGTTGTGCAATATATCGTGCACCTTCCACCATTGAATTGTCCACCTTCTCCAGTGTAGTTCACTGGGGTGTGTGTGAGGGTGCATGTGCATCTGGTGTCCTTGAAAATGTAGACCACTGACAAGCAGAAAATAGCAAGGAAATATTGGAAAACTGTGAAGTTGCTATTTAAAATAACCCAATCAATTACCACAAGGGTGTTTGTTTTTA